ACATGCAGGATCCAGTGTATTGCTCTATTCTGTCCACCTGTCTGATTTATTCCCTTTTTTTTTTTTTTTTTTAATTTTTCTCCAGTTTCGGGTCTCTTCTGATTTGTCTAGAGTATATTTCTCTGGGGTCATTGTTGCCATTTTAGTATTTTTTTCTCTCATCTATTCTTTGCTGGACAGCATAACAAGATAGAAAAACTCACCTCAAAAAAGAGAACAAGAGGCAGTACTGACTGCCAGGGACCTGATCAGTATGGACATAAGTAAGATGTTGGAACTAGAGTTCAGAATAACAATTATAAAAATACTAGCTGGGCTTGAAAAAAGCATAGAAGACACTAGAGAATCCTTTTCTGGAGAAATAAGAGAACCAAAATCTAATCAAGTCTAAATCAAAAAGGCTATTAATGAGATGCAATAAAAAATGGAGGCTCTAACTGCTAGGATAAATGAGGCAGAAGGGAGAATTAGTGCTTTGGAAGACAAAATGATGGAGAATAAAGAAGCTGAGAAAAAGAGAGATAAACAATTACTGGATCATGGGGGAGAATTTGAGAGATAAGTGATACCATAAAGTGAAACAATATTAGAATAATTGGTATCCCAGAAGAAGAGGAAAAGGACAGAGGGGCAGAAGGTATATTGGAGCAAATTATAGTGGAGAAGTTCCCTTATCTGGGGGAGGAAACAGGCATCCAAGTCCAGGAGGCACACAGAACCCCCTTCAAAATCAATAAAAATAGATCAACACCCTGACATCTAATAGTAAAACTCACAAGTCTCGGAGACAAAGAGAAAAACTTGAAACAGCTCAGGACAAGAGATCTGTAACCTACAACGGTAGAAACATTAGACTGGCAGCAGACCTATCCACAGAGACCTGGCAGGCCAGAAAGGACTGGCATGACATATTCAGGGTGCTAATTGAGAAAAATATGCAGCCAAGAATACTTTATCCAGCAAGGCTATCATTCAAAATAGAAGAAGAGATAAAAAAATTAAAAAAAAATTAAAAAAAAATAGAAGAAGAGATAAAAAGCTTCTAGGGCAAACAAACTAAAAGAATTTGTGATCACCAAACCAACCTTGCAGAAATATTAAAGGGGATCCTTTAAGCGAAGGGAGAGCCCAAAAGTAACATAGACCAGAAAGGAACAGGGACAATATACAGAAACAGTGACTTTACAGGTAATACAATGGCACTAAATTCATATCTTTCGATAGTTACTCTGAATGCAAATGGGCTAAATGCCCCAATCAAAAGACACAGGGTATTAGATTGGATAAAAAAAGCAAGACCCATCAATATGCTGTCTGCAAGAGATTAATTTTAGACCTAAAGACACCTCCAGATTGAAAGTGAGGGAGTAAAAAACCATTTTTCATGTTAACAGACACCAAAAGAAATCTGGGGTAGCAATCCTTATATCAGACAAATTAAATTTTAAACCAAAGACTGTAATAAGAGATGAGGAACGACACTATATCAAAATTAAAGGGTCTATCCAACAATTGTGAATATTTAGGCCCCTAACATGGAAGCAGCCAATTATATAAACCAATTAATAACAAAATTAAAGAAACACATTGATAATAATACAATAATAGTAGGGGACTTTAACACTCCACTCACTGCAATGGACAGATCATCTAAGCAGAAGATCAGCAAGGAAATAAGGACTTTGAATGACACACTGGACCAGATAGACTTCACAGATATATTCAGAGCATTCCATCCTAAAGCAACAGACTTCTTGAGTGCACATGGATCTTTCTCCAGAATAGATCTCCTCCTGGCTCACAAATCAGGTCTCCACCAGTACCAAAAGATTAGGATCATTCCCTGCATATTTTCAAACCACAATGCTTGGAAACTTGAACTCAATCACAAGAGGAAATTTGAAAAGAACTAAAATACATGGAGGCTAAAGAACATCCTACTAAAGAATCAATGGGTCTTGTTGACTGTTTCCTTTGCTGTGCAGAAGCTTTGATCCGAAGGGGTATGTGCACCCCAGTGTTTATAGCAGCAATGTCCACAATGGCCATATTTTGGAAAGAGCCAGGATATCCATCAACAGATGAATGGATAAAGAAGATGTGGTATATATATATACAATGGAATATTACGCAGCCATCAAAAAAACCAAACTCTTGCCATTTGCAATGACATGGGTGGAACTAGAGGGTATTATGCTAAGCGAAATACGTAAATCAGAGAAAGAGATGTATCATATGATCTCACTGATATGAAGAATTCTTAATCTCAGGAAACAAACTGAGGGTTGCTGGAGTGGTGGGGGCTGGGAGGGATGGAGTGGCTGAATGATAGACATTGGGGAAGGTATGTGCTATGGTGAGTGCTGTGAATTGTGTAAGACTGTTGAATCACTGACCTGTACCTCTGAAACAAATAATACATTATATGTTTAAAAAAAAAAAAAAAAGAAGAGAGTAGGAAGGGAAAAATGAAGGGGGAATAATCGGAGGGGGAGATGAACCATGAGAGACTATGGACTCTGAGAAACAAACTGAGGGTTCTAGAGGGGAGGGGGGTGGGGGGATGGGTTAGCCTGGTGATGGGTATTAAAGAGGACATGTATTGAATGGAGCACTGGGTATTATACGCAAACAATGCATCATGGAACACTACATCAAAAACTAATGATATAAGTATGGTGATTAACATAACATAATAAAATAAAAAAAATTCATGGAAACAAATGAAAATGAAAACACAACTGTTCAAAACCTTTGGGATACAGCAAAGGCAGTTCTAAGAGGGAAGTATATAGCAAATACAAGCCTTTCTCAAGAAACAAGAAAGGCCTCAAATATACAACCTAACCTTACACCTATAGGAGCTGGGGAAAAAACAGCAGATAAAGCCTAAACCCAGCAGGAGAAGATAATTAATAAAGATTGGAGCAGAAATCAATGAAATAGAAACCAAAAGAACAGCAGAACAGATCAACAATACTAGGAGATGGGTCTTTTTTTTTTTTTAAAGATTTTATTTATTTTTTTGTCAGAGAGAGAGAGCACAAGCAGGGGGAGTGGCAGGCAGAGGGAGAAGCAGACTCCCAGCTGAGCAAGGAGCCCAATGTGGGACTTGATCCCAAGACCCTGAGATCATGACCTCAGCCGAAGGCAGACACTTAACCAACTGAGCCACCCAGGTGTCCCTAGGAGGTGGTTCTCGAAAGAATAAATTGATAAACCCCAGGCCAGACTTACCAAAAAAAAAAAAACCAAAAAGAAAGGACTCAAATAAATAAAATCATGAATGTCTGGAACCGGAAAAGATCCCAAATAGTCAGAGGAGTGTTGAAAAAAAATAAACCAAAGCTGGTGGCATCACAATGCCAGACTTCAAGCTCTATTACAAAGCTGTAATCATCAAGATAGTATGGTACTGGCACAAAAACAGACACATAGATTAATGGAACAGAATAGAGAACCCAGAAGTGGACCCTCAGCTCTTTGTTCAACTAAATTCGACAAAGCAGGAAAGAATATCCAATGGAAAAAAGACAGTCTCTTCAACAAATGGTGTTGGGAAAATTGGACAGCCACATGCAGAAGAATGAA